CCGCTGGGCAGGTCCAAGCTGTGCTGGGACTGTCTGGGCGCAGAGTGGCCTGCTCTGTGGACACTGCATCCAGGCAGACTGTGGATCTGTTCAGTCTTTCAGAGCGAGGCAGGTACGATAACACGGACACTCATCCAGGTTTATTTTGTCATTCTTGACGAAATGTGTTGACTTTGGTTGTTTGCTTCTTATTTAAACTGAAATGTAAGATCTGGCAAATGACACATTTAAGGTCTGTTCATATCAGTGTCAGTATCCATACAGTATGTCCACGTGTATACTTGTATAGGTATACATTTTAGTATAGTTTAGATCTTTTTAGTATCAGAATCTTTATTGGACTCAGTATTTGTATTTGTTAGTATTGCTGTTATTGTACTGTAGCACAGTATGTATTGTATCTACACATATATTATATGTAGGTACTGTAGTACTGTTCTTGTCGGGTGCTTTGCTGTTGAAGTCAGTGCTGCAGTCGGTGTCAGTTTTGGGATCTGTCTTGCAGGCCGGTCAGGACGCTCTCCCTGGACTCTGCGGGACAGTCTGTCCAGGCGCTGGCTGCGGTAGAGGGGGAGACGGACGCTCTGATTGGCTCCACAGCCGCCGCAGGCAGCATCGCTCTGTGGTGAGAAGCAGGGCCTCAGCAGTGACTGTCGCAGTGGTGCGTGCTGCAGGCTGGGCAGCGAGCAGGGCGCGGGCCAGAGGCCGGCCAGTAACAAGCTTGTAGGGGCCTGAATCACAGGCACCTCCCAGGCAGGGAGAGAGCTGGCTGCCTGTCACGTTGGTGTCTGTATTTAAACACCTTCAGGCTTGTATTTAAATTGAATGGTAAAAAAATAAAATAAATCCTTGTTAAGTAAAGGAGAATTTTCATTACCTGCCTCTTTTCTGTGAACTTCTAATAAATGGCTTTTAATGGTATTTTTAAGACTAGAAGCTACTAGCTACCATCGAAGTACGTGGTCCACAATCTGGCCGGGTCTTGATTTTATGTGATTTGTTTTTAACATATTTCTGTTTCCTTTCAGGAACATGAGGACGGGACAGCTGTTGCGGAGGATATCTCTGGGGTTGTACAATCCCGGGACAGTGTGCCTCCGAGGATACTCCCACCATGTAAGGCTCTCTGTGCTGCTGGTCTGCCGTTGGACACTCTGTAAAAGTTAGGAGATTTAGAATGGCCAAACAATTTCTGCACAGAGGGACCGGGGGGGATCCACACTGGGCAAAGCCATTGGACAGGGATCTGACTTTCACTGAGCAGCACAAAAAGACCATGGCATGGTAACAAGGAGGTGTGTTTACACAAAGGGTGGTAGAGGTATGGAACGAGCTTCAAAGCCATGTTGTTTAAACTGATTTTTGGGAGCATGGCTGGACGAGATCGCTTTCTCAATAAGCTACTACCAATCAAATGGTTGCAGTGAGTCACAAGTCTCCTCTTGTTTGTAGAGTCCTTATGTTACTCTGCACCTACTGTATACCTCTGCCCTCGGGGGAGTTTCTCTGAAGAGAACCGAAGGCAGCAGTATGAAGGATTTTTAGTCATGCTATGCATTGTGAACTCGACAGATCA